CGGAGCGCAGAGCGACAACAGCGCACCAATCCTTCGTCTAGGCGTGGGCGCAGCCGGAGCGGAGACCGTCGTGGGAGAAACACGCCTCCGTCTAGGCGTAGCCGTAGCCGGAGTCAGAACCAGAGCGGGAGCAATAGCAGGGCGACCAGCACTGACAGCAGTCGCGGTGGAAAAGGGCGACGGAAGTCAGGCCACGGTAACAGGCAAGTGATGTATGATCGAGGTGATTTTCGTAGCTCTGGGTTGTTGGGGGAAAACAAGGATGCTTCAGAAGACGGTTCTCTCTGTTCTTCACCGCTTGTTCTACGCCCTCCCGCTGATGTAGGCCAACCGACCAGGTCTTCTTTGGCTTTCAAACTTGCCAACATGCAACTTCGTGAACGTTCAGCCGCTGTGAAAAGCCATGCCCCTGCCCATGCCGTTATGGATCATCCCACATCTTCCTTGCCTTTGGACGAACCTGTTGAGTCACCACGCCATGCTGCATCACACGCCTCGACTTCGGCCTCCCGTACTGAAATGCTGTTGGAACAAGTACTCACTCTCCTGCGAGCAAATCAAGTAGTGGATGCTGCTGCCGACGCGAATGTACAACCTCCTGTGCCCCCCCACGCTCCAAGCGTGCCACCACCTGCCCCATGGTCTTCCCCACCAACGCGTCCGACACCGATGCAAGACCACGCTTCGAGCTTTTCGGGAGCTCCTGTGGGACGCGATGTTCGTGCCGAAACCGCTGCCAGGACCACGCCAGCATCATCGTCATCAGCCACGAGGTCGGCGACAGTACCGGTCGAGCCTGCGGTGGCACAGTCAGCGTCGACAGCCCCAGCCCTGTTCCAACCGTCTTTGGTGGTATCGCCCCTCCCCCTCCAGCGTGCGTCTGTTCTGAGTGATCCTGACTCTGCAACCGGCCATATCGTCGAGCCACCGAGTCAAGCGGCATCACCGGTGCCACAGGACGATGCTGGGTTGCCTTTGTCTTCCACGGGAGCGAGAGCGAGGCAGGAGGCTCTGCACGCTGCGGACGCCGCTGCAGCGGAGGCCGACACCATCCGCATTCAAGACAAGATGGACAAGCTGAAGCCGGAAAGACTTGATAGTGTCACACGCTTGCCCCTCGGTCCTGATCCTGATGAATTTGCTCGCTTCGCGTCTAGCTGCAAGGGTGTGGTCACAGAGATCCTCAACAAAAGCGACGTCAAGCGCAAGCAGACTTTCAATTCCTCCACCTGGGTCACCGGATGGCTTCCGTTGTTGCGCAAACGTGTCCGTGCTGCTGTCGTTGAAGGCCAAACCACCAACCGTGCCACGCTGGAATTTCTTGATGCCACCTTCCTACAGGTAGAAAACCATCTGCGCAAGGAACCGGCAGGGCCCTCGACGTACGCGTTCTTCATCCAAANCGCAAGCAGACTTTCAATTCCTCCACCTGGGTCACCGGATGGCTTCCGTCGTTGCGCAAACGTGTCCGTGCTGCTGTCGTTGAAAGCCAAACTACCGTGTCACTCTGGAATTTCTTGATGCCACCTTCCTACAGGTAGAAAACCATCTGCGCAAGGAACCGGCAGGGCCCTCGACGTACGCCTTCTTCATCCAGAAATTGGCGGCCGCCTGGGACACTCAAGACAAGAGCTCGGGGATTGATCGTCTTCGCAGTTTTGGCGTATCCAACGGCGAGACTTACGGAGAATACATCCGTCGCTATAAGGCTCTGGCCATGACCGTCATGGTTTCCCACCACGCGTTCAAGCCTTCGGATGCGCAAGTGCAGATAGCTGTTCGAGACTCCATGTTGAAGAAGTTTCCGGTAGTGTCTGGGCAGGTGTACAAGGATGAGCAGCTCTCCATGGAAGCCCCTTTTGGGCGACATGCTTCGTGTCTGGATGATATGTGGGATGTCTTGGACAAGCGTCCGTTCGCGCACACGCCGGCGGTACAAGGAGATTATTTCTTTTCGGTATCTTTCACGAATGCTAGGAGTTCGTCTGCTGTTTCGCGTGCTGTAGCTTCTTCGGCGTTGCGTTCGACGGTGACCCCTTCGTGGAGCCAAGGTTCTTCGGCCGCCGTGATGAGTGTTAGCCCTCTACCTAATGATGATCGGGACCCTTTTCTGTTGCACTACAGCGACTGGCCGTTGCAAGGACACTTCCAAGAGGTGTACAACGTCGCTAGTGAGATGGCTCTAACCAAGAATGATCCGCCATTGTTCACCCCCTTGGTCTCGGCTGAAGAGCGCCGCAA